AGTTCATTTGTGGACTGTGCAAGAAGATCATCAGTAAATTGAAAGTTGATATGAAAACACACCAATAAATTTAGTAGGTAACATAGTAACAAGAAGGCTGATGAACAGAATGAGAATTGGTACATTTGGCAATACCTGAGCCCATTGCTGAGCCTCTTGGCACTCCCAAGAGCAAACAGCACGTGAAGGGAGCTGTTTGAAGAGTTGCACATCTACAGCCAGGGAAGACAAGTGATGGAAAATGTCTTAGAAAGGACGACTGTACCAAGACATCACGAGCAGATGTCATAGGCTCACATGGGATCGTTGCAGTTTTCAGCCTAGTTACTTGCAATCTCAGTCAGATATGTAAGAGTTTAGAAGAAATTCCAGGAGGTTCCCAATGCCATCGGCTTCTCAACACCGAGCAGTCCATGTCTTTTATGTACTTGTAGTATCAAAACTGAAAATACAGTGGTCATCACAGTGGGAGAGCACATCAGTGTCATGTCTTTAAAATTGTGTTATGGCAAAAAAACCCAATAGTTATAAGCATCAGTTGCAAAGACACTTCTCAGCAAGAAAAACATTAGAAAGATAACAAATTATCGCCTCAAAATTTTTAGAACAATGTTGAAAAATTACATAGGTTGTAAATAAATGGTACAAAAACTATTAGAGGAGTTGCAGTAGAAAGTTAAGGAGCTCCATCTATTTTGGCAGGAAAAAATATTATATGAAATAAAATCAATTTCATAAGAGAAAATATTATGTACAAAAGGACTGTTTAGATAAGTGAACTAAGTCACTACATGAACCAACAGCTGGAGGCTGAAGCCAAGCCAACCCAAGCTGGAAGAGAAAAATACTGAAGGCTAATCAGAGCGGCAAATTGCTGCAGCGAGGGCTGGATTCTCCACCCACCTCAAGGTATCTTCTATTTGTAAAAGCATGCCTTACTGGAAACAGTGACAGTCTCCCTGAGCTTCTAAAGAAGTATATTATGAACAGCAAGAATGATATATGTGGTGTGATTGAAAAACCAGAAATGTCCCTTCTGGATGATAAACACTTAATCCTTTAATTGAATGTGATACTCAGTGCTCAAACCTTCACACACCAGGGGCTGGCAGGCTAGCACTGGATGTAGGATTTCCAGGGAAGATGAGCAACTAATGCGGTCAGTGCTACCATGTTTTTGACCCAGTCTTTCTGAATGTTGATGTTTTGTTTCATGATCTGTTTGCTTGTCTGGTGAACCATTCATTGTAGGACCCAATCCTTGCGTTGTAGAAAGTTCCAGCCTAGCTGGAAGATAACACTGACTTGCTTTATAGGAATGTTTTCTGAGGCAAGTTGTAACTTTCTGCATCTCGCTGTTTATCAGAATGTATCATTCTTTATTCCAAACAAGATTTTCTTTTCATACTACTGTCGTGAAATATTTACCAGTGTATGGCTTAGGAGTAGGCCCATGCCAGTGCTGTGATGGGACACAGCCAGTTCTTAACCCATGTCCTTTCTAAAATTGTGCTTTCCTTTACTGCTGTCATAATTTTCTCTCTGAGGCAACTCAGCTGTTTCTTTCCAAGTTTTTGTAATTCCTTATGTGACTCAACCCACCTAAAATTCTTTAGTTAAGACCAAGGAAGATTGTTTTTATATAATTGTAAATGCACAGTGAGATCATTAGTGAATATAGTTTCTGACCCTAGGTTCCCAGGGTAATTTCCTATACCAGGACAAATTTCACAGACTCACCAAAGAGGCAAAATACTGCCAGCATTTTTGCATTAATGTTTTTATTGCTCTGCATTAAGACACTGAAGTTTACTTGTGTCTTACACTGCACAGTTTTACAGCCAAATAACTGTCTGTAAAAGAAACCTAATTCATACCAAGCCACATCAGTCCCAATTCTCCTAGCATGTACTTGAGCATGAGGTAAAACCCCTGAATTCAGCCCCCAAGGACAGATTCTCCAGGAGGAGATCTGCCACATCACAGCACCCAGTCACACAGGTTGCTGTTACACTTTGGGTTTTTCCACACAAGTGAAAGCTCAGCTTTGGCCAGTGTCAGGTCCTACCTTTGCTATGGCACAGAGTCCCACTGAAGGGACTGAAGAGCAGGAGGGCATGCTGTGTCTTTGGAGCAGGTGTTCATTGGACTTACCCTCTGAGAAATGGGCTTTTTTTGGTACCTTGCCCAGCACAATATTACCTTTGAAACAGGCACAGGTCTGTGTGTGCTGGGAAAGCTCCCTGCCTCTCACACACAGGGACACAGAGGAGAAGTGAGATCCTGTTGTCCCAAGTGAGATCCCTCGGTCTCTCACTGTGAGGAGGGAGGGGCTGTTCTTTAGCTGACTGCTTTCATTTGGACATCAACCACAGAGTGAGTCCTTCCCTGTTCTGTGATTATTTTGCTTATTGCTCAGGATAAATAAAAATATAGACTATAAGTTACATTTCTTATTTTAAAGCCTCATTTTCTTGACCAACCCCTCATTTTCTTGACCGCTAACACAAAATTGGCTCTGATGGGGGAAGGAACAACATTGAGGAAGAACCCACAGCCACAATGCTTCAGGCTGCACTGCAGTACAAAAAATGAATTTTCCATACTCCCAAGAATACGGAGAAAGAAATTTGTTTAAATATGAATTTTAAATCTTGCACCTGGTGCAGAAAACATTGAAACATGATCATCAGGCCCTGAAATATGATTTTGGTGAATGACAGGCATTCAAAACAATTTCTAGCACTTGAAATATAAAAATTGCATTTTGAAGAAAACAAAATAGAGTCAACGTTTTGTTTTAAATATGATGTCTTTCTGCTAAAATTAGTTTAAATATTTGCAGGTCTTCAAAATTCAAAGTGTTCATTCTTTTCAGATTTCTCCCAATACTTTTGTAACCAATCAGCATTTGAAAAATGAGTAATATTATTTCCCTTGCATTTCCTATATTTTTTCTGCTTTATTACAGGTGCTTAAAATAAAACAAGATGGGTCTCTTCTCACAGTAGTTGTGACCTGTACCATGAAGCTGAACATTTCAAAGAGCTGATATTGAAATGAGAACTTACATCTCTGTTAAAAAAAAAAAAAAAAAAAAAATCTGCCTCCTATGCAACACCTTTAAAATGAACAGTGGCGATACATTCACCTATTTACAACTTCGCGTGTCATACTCAGCAGAAAGGCAGGGAGTAAATCCAGTTTACCTTCACGATAATTTGTTGTTTTGACGTGACTTTGCCCTCGGCGTTGTTTTAGTTTCTATTAAATGCAAAAGCATCGCCGTTCCCGGGATTTGTAATGATTTAAAAGTTTCTGGGGAGATTCCTCCTCGGGAGCAACTGGTTTTTCCTCCTCCGATTTATCAGACCTCTCAGCTCCTGTGGCTTTGGAGGTGGCATTTTCCGGCCGACGCCGGACTTGGTGGAATTTGGATGGGGTCACCCAGATCCCTGCCTTTCCCGGAGTTCCACTTCGCCAGGGCCAGGAGCGGGGGCCGACGGGGTGGGCGACATCCTCCCCGGGAGCAGCGGGGCAGCACCCGGCACAGGAGACACGTGGAGTGTAATGAAAGAAATCAAATAAAATCAAAAGCAGCGGAAGATGGGTTGACTCCCTGGGTAAGCCCCCATCTTTCGCCGACCCCCGGTTCCCCCCGCATCCCGCCAGCCTCCTGCGTGGCCGGAGCTCGCCCTGCGCCTCGAGCCCCGCTGCTCCCGGGCAGTCCCGGCTGCGGAACCGGGGTCTCCCTGCTCCCTCCGCCTCTGCCACCAGCCGGAGCCGGGGCTGAATTCCCCCGGCGGCCGGGGAGCCCCTCCAGCCCCGGCGTGTTTGCGGGAGGGAGCCACGCTATAGGAAGGGCGGAAGGCAGGGAGAGAAGGCAGGGAGGGGTTGTCAGCACAGCCCAGCGCGGCCTCATCCCCCCTCACTCCTCCCACCAGTGCGTGGTGCCTCTTAACCCCCGGGAACCTCCCTCCCCCGAAGCATTACTCCACTTTGCAGAACAGGAGTTGATGAAAAAAAAAAAAATACTTCTCGGCAGCGGCCAGTCATGAGCTGTTTGGATGTTATGTACCAAGTCTACGGTCCTTCCCAGCCCTACTTCGCAGCAGCCTACAGCCCCTACCACCAGGTACGCTTAGGGGACAGCGGTGAAGAGGCAGAAGGTGGGAGGGGTATCGTCTGGAGGATGGCCATCTGGGGCCTCACCAAAGGGAAAAAGGGAAAAGGAGAAGGGGAGGGGAAAGGGGGGGGCGGGAGGGGGGCAGATCTGGGAGCCTGCGATGGTGAGCGGAGCAGAACCGCATCCCACCTTGGCGCGGGGCTCGACAGGGTACGTACGCCGGCGGCAAACGACGGGCTACGGGATGCCTTTGCAGAGACGGGACTATTTTAACCCTCAGAAGGATTTTTAGGGGGTTTGTTTGCTTGTTTGTTTGTTTTGAAATGTTTGCTTGTTTGTTTTCTTTACCGGGACGGGCTGCTTCCGAGAGCGGCTGGTCGGGGCAGCGATGTGTGTAGGGACCGTCGGGAGTTGCGGGGCCGGGCTTCCCGGGGCATCGCTCACCCCGGCGCGCCGGCATCCCGGCCGCAGCCACGGAAGCCTCTTGGTGCAGAGACTTTTACAGCCGCCTCGGAGGGGTGCTCCGGAGTTGCGCTCTGGAAGTAGGGGAGAAGAGAGAGAAGGGATGTTGCGGGGTTTGCCTGGCTTGGCGATGGCGGAGGAAACCTCGGCGGCGAAGGGGAGCAAGGGGCTACAGGATGCTCCCTTCTCCCGGGGCGCTCTCGGTGGCGGCGGGACCCCGGCACGTCCCCCCGTCCCCCCCTGCGGCTGTCGCCTGCGGGACCCGCGGGTGCTTCGCGAGCGGCAGCCGCGTCCCGCCGCCTCCTGCGTGTAGCTCCGCCCGGGAGGTCGCGGATATCAGCTAATCCCGAGGTTTTAAGAATAGGATCGCTCGGGCGCGGGTATGTTTTGGGCACGCACTGCCCGTGGTGCGCGGGGATCTGCTGGCGCCGGGGCGCGCACGGTCCCGCGTGGGTCAGGCTCGGCTCCCCCGGCTGCACCTGCTGCACACCGCTTTCCTTTTAACCCCGCTGCGTGCCCATTTTTTTCCTCGCCCTTACCCCTTCCAGAAATTAATTCCTTCATCCCTCAGCATAACTAAAAAAGGGATGGATACAGAGAACGACGCTCCGGGCCCGAGGCGGGCGCAGCCCCCGCCGTGCCGCGGGCCGGGGCCAGTGGCGTGGCGGTCCCTGTGTCCCCTCCAGCGCCCGGCAGCGGGGCCCAGGACCCGTCACAAACAGCAGATAATGTCTTTCCCCGCCTTGCCTTCCCTCCCACCACCCTCTCAACCCTCAGCTTATGACATTATTAAGGGGGATGATCATTACCTCAATGGCCGAACAGGGAGCCAAGAGGAAAGGCGGTCGTCGCGACGAGTGACATTATCAAATATACCTCGTGTCTTGGTCCAAGACTCTGCCCCGTCCTCTCGGTTCTTCCCCCGCCGGCCGCCCCAAGGCTCTACTGGCGGCGGCCAAGCCCGGGCTCCGCGTCCCAGCGCTATTGCTAAGAAACTCTCAGCAGCTGCAGACAGGCTAACGCGCCTATGAAGACGGGAAACATCCGGCAAACTTCACAACGCCCGCTGTTTTCCCACTCGGTGGAATACAGTAAAAGGAGATGAATCTTGTAGTAAATACCTGGAGCTTCTTGATGTCCAGGGAAATGCTGAGTTTTGCCCTGAATTGTGTTTGAGACTGTCAGTCTTTTCTCCCCACTCTTTGCTTCTACTTCGCCCCTGTGGGTTACAGGACACTCTTTGCACCAAATAGATTTTCGAGGGGTTTTCGCCTTCTCCCAGCTGCCGGCGCTGCTCCTTGGGTGCTCGGCCGTCGCCCGCCCGTGCCCCCGCATTGCAGCCCCTTGGCAGCCGCCGTCCGCTCCGAAACCAGCTGCAAAGAGCTTCTTTTTTTTTTTTTTGCGGGGCTTGGTGCGGGGGACCCGGCGGTGTGACACCCGCCCGGCCGTGCCTTCCCCACCCGGCTGCCTTCTTGCTCCATCCCGTTCGGCACCTGTGGGTTTCGGTCCCCCAGCCCTATTTGCAGTCCCTTCGCTGCCCCCGGACTACAGAGGGCGATACGGGGATGTGGGGATTGTGGTGTATGCTGAGGGAACGACGGGCAGCCGAGGACCAGACTTTGGCATCCTCTCGGAAGGACCACGGGAGAGGGCTCGGCACTGCACGCCGATGGCACAGGGCGGGCCAGCGCGCCTTGGTGTGCTGCGTGACCGGCTCCGTTTTCTTTCCTTCCCTGCAGAAACTCGCCCTTTACTCCAAAATGCAGGAAGCCCCGGAGAGCGGCAGCAGCGCCAGCGCCGGCAGCTCCTTCTCCAGCCACGCCGCGGCCAGCATCAAGGAGGAGGACTGCAGCCCCGAGAAGGAGCGACCCCCCGAGGCCGAGTACATCAGCTCCCGCTGTGTCCTCTTCACCTACTTCCAGGGGGACATCAGCGCCGTGGTGGATGAGCACTTCAGCCGGGCGCTCAGCCAGCCCAGCAGCTTCTCCCTCGGCAGCGCGAAGGCGGCGCGGAACGCGGGCTCCTGGCGCGGTGAGCGCCCGGCGCGGCGCGGGGGATGCGGGGGGCGCGGGGGGCTGCTGAGGCACCCTCTGGGTCGGCACCTCGTCCCCGCCTCGGCTCCGCATCCCGGCTCCCTCCTCCCTCCCACCAGCGGCTGGTGCCCGGCGGGCATCCCCTGGGATCCGAGGCTGGGAGCTGCCAGCTGCTTGGCCCTTTTAGGGTGAAAAGGAAAGAATAAATCCCTTCAGATTATGCAGAGGGGCATGACCCGGGGGAAAGTAGCCTGAGAGGCGGTTGGGGGAAACAAATTGTCTTTTTGCTGCAGTTGCTTTACCTTGAGAGGGCTACCAGCCAACTAGCCACAGAGTGACTCCGAAAGTAGACTGTAACCAGTATATTCCCTGTTGACCCTAGCTTTCAGTTTAGAGTGGTGATAGTGATGGGAGCAAAGCAAAAAGCAAATGTGGGAACAATCTGATCAGCTTCCCACCTCTAAAAGAAACGATTGTGTGTGTCCCTGTATCTTGTCCTGCGTGTATCACCACCCTGATTGTTGCTGGAGTGCTGACAAGGACTCTTAAGTTTCTGAAAACAAGGGCTTGCAGATCTACCCATGGCCATGTGCTGTCAAGGCCAAGGCCATGGCTTATGCACAGCTCTCCGTATCCATGCCTTGATTCACACCGGACAGGCTCATGAGGGTAGTCAGGGCAGAGAGGAATAATCTTCTCCGCACTCCGTCTGCCAGAGAGTTAGGGCTGGCACTTCCTTGTGGGCAGTCTTAGTAACCCTCCCTCACAGGGCCACCTGCTCGGCCAGGGCTGGTTTCCCAGACCTTGCACGGATTGCTGTCTGTAGTGTCTAAGAATATTTCATGAGTGAGAGATATTCAGTGCTGGAATTGGTGGCAGTAGAGGAGGTTTTTTCTCATCACAAGCTGCTTCCCCTTCTCCCAGGCAATGCCAAGCCTCAGAGCTGACATGCTTCCCTGGCAAAGAAGTATTAGGAACATAGTTTTATTTCTTTCAAGAACAGTGTGCATTCCCAATTAATCATGTGTAACATCTATTTGTGATATTAATAATCACCAGTCCATCTTGCATGTTGCTAGCTGGGCTAAGAAATGTAGGGTCTTTGTCTTTGCCCTGCCAATCTCCAAAGTTCTGCTGAGGGCTTCCCAAACAGGCTGACAATATACCTAAGAAACAGACAGCTGTAACAGATGGAGAATTGCACCCAGATATTTGAGTAATTCAAACTTGCCTTTAGTCACATCTCTCACTGTTCCTGCCTACTTTGCTGCTGCACTGAGGCAGCAGCCGCTTTCCAGGAAACATTGGACATAAATCTTAGACATAAAGGAGATTATTACAAAAACAAACAAGAAAAACCCAAACCTGAAAATTTAAGTGGTATATAGTAGCTCTCAGTTTCCACTACTGAAGGAAAGAGATGTTTCTTTTGCCTTAAGTAACAACCTTCTCCCAACTACATAGTATGAAAAAGCTGGAGAGCATAGTTGCAACTTCATGGATAAGCCATAAGATAGGTGTGTTGGATGTTTAGTTGGAGAGGAATCTGTATTTGTTTGGAACAAGTTCTTATGATTGCCAGCTTTTCGTGGAATAAAGGGAAGGAAAGGACTTGTTTGGGTGGATCAGGGAGGGACAGAGCCTTAGAGAAAGGAGATCAAGTCTTGTGGGGTGTGCTCATTGCTGTTTTTCTTTCCCACTTCCTTCACCCAGATGGATCCTTCCCAATGAGCCAGCGCATCTTCCCGCCGTCCTTCTGGAACAGCACGTACCAGCCCTCCTCGGTCCCGGCCAGCCTGAGCAGCCCCCTGGCAGCTGCTGCCCACAGCGAGCTGCCCTTCGCCGCTGCCACCGACCCCTACGCGCCCGCCTCTCTGCACGGCCACCTGCACCAGGGCGGCCCCGAGCCCTGGCACCACGCGCACCACCACCACCACCACCACCACCACCACCCTTACATTGGGACACAGGGCACTGCCTACCCCCGCCCCACCGCCATGCACGAGGTCTACGGGCCCCACTTTGACCCCCGCTACGGCTCGCTCCTGGTGCCCACAGCCTCCGTCCGCCCCCACCGCCTCACCCCCGCCTCCGTATCCACACCAGTCAGCCCCCCCTGTGAACTGGGCAAGAGTGAAGCGGGTGCTGCTGCGGCCTGGACGACACCGGGCCCCTTCCCCAGTCCAACAGGAGACATGGCACAGAGCATTGGCCTCAATGTGGACACAGGTAACGAGCTGCCCTCGGTCCCTCCAGGTCCCCTGGCTCAGCTGCACCCCTGCTCCCTGATTCCACATCGTCCATAGCAGTAGGGAAGGACTCAGAGGGGGTGGCAGAGGTTCGGCTGTGGGGGAATGAAGTGAGGGTGGAAGCCCCATGTGTGACACCTGAGCTCTGTCCTGGGTGATCTTCTTGGGGCTCTCAGGCCAGGCAAGTGAAGAATGGAGAGCAAGGATGGGACAGGCCAACACATCACATCTCCACATCATTAATTGAATTTCTGATGCCCTCAAACATTCCCTGAGGCTACAGGTTGCTTTAAGGTACTTTTGTCCTGGCCCTGGTCTTGCTTCTGCATTGAGCAGCGAGAGCTAGGAGCAGAATGGAGCAGCCCCAGAGGTCACTGCTTGGCCCCATCCATGTGCTGCCCTGAGGGGTCATTTCTAGACACCATGCAGGTCCATGAACTAGCTCCTCTCCTTAATTAGCTTCTCCTTCCAGTTTTTGAGATGAAAGCACAATTGCATTTGCTGAGCAAAAAAGCCAGTGGTCTTCCCCTGGTGGTGCCTGTTGGGGTGTCTGGAACCAAGGCTGTGGCTGTAGTGCTGACAAAAATAGGTGCACAGGCACAGTCAGCAGTGACAGATCCTGAGTCGGTGATTGTGAAGGAGAGGAAAGTCTGCTCCATGCTGGTTTCATTATTGCAGCCACTAATGGCTCCTTATGGTGTCCTCACTTTAAACAGGAGGGACTTTCTCCAATCTGGCTTGAGGTCTTCTCCTTGTTTCACAGCCTTCTGGGCCTCTGGAGATCCTATGCATTAGACTGATCTCAGCTGGCAAGAAATGAAATTTGTTTTCCTCTATTCTTAAATGCCTGTACCTATTTTTCTTCTTCCTTTTTTTTTTTTTTTTTCTTCTCTCCATTCTCAGGTTTGCAACCTCAGGATAAAAGCAAGGATCTGTACTGGTTTTAGAGCTGTCCTTCACTCTTCTTCCCCTGGCTCTCCCCTGTAGCTCTCTACCCGTTAGACATGGTGGCATTCAGAGCTGAAATCGGGTCAGTTTGTAACAGCTTCTGATCTTGGTTTGCAGCTCGCCGTTACTCCTTCTGTGGTGGATCCCTTCTGAGCTGATGTGCTGACTCAAAGACTCTCAGATCCCCCCTTGCCCTTTTCCAAGCCCACCGTGGCCCTGCTGCTCGGGGGAAGACAACGGGATTTAAAAGGACCTGGCACTGCAAGGGTGGTACTTTAGACTATTTCGGAGACGAAAGTCGTTCTGTTGCAAGAGGAGAGCCAAAGACATTGAACTTCTATTTAAGCAGACCCCACACCCAGACCTGCAGCCAGACTACTCTGAAAGAGTCAAATCATATCATGGATGGCGATGCAAAACCACTGGCCTTCATACAGGCAACAGAGGAAATTGTGGGGTTTTTTTAGTGGTGTGAATATTTTTTTATGGCAGTGAAAGTTTTCTTGAGTGCAACCATGTGGAAGCTACTCAGCAGTTTTTAACTGGATTTTTATTTTGCATTATAGAAAAGTAAAAGGAGAAGAAACTGGAACTCATGAACATTTTCAGACTATCAAGGAACTGGTCAGATTTTTCAGCTTTGTGGTTGTGAGTGGCAAGTGTCTGACTGGGGCCACCTGCCCTGGACTTACAGATATGCAGCTGTTCCCCTCACAACTGCTTAAATCCCAGAAAGACGAAAATCAAGGTGGCACTTCTCAGAGTTTGGCACATTGCATTGGCTGTATAACAGTTGTTTGGTTGGGGGTGGGGTTGTTTGTTTGGTTTTGGTTGGTTTTGTTGGGGTTTTTTTTTTTTTTTTTTTTTTTTTTTTTTTTTTTTTCTTTTTACAATAAACTTTTTCTGGTGACAGTTAAACCCTCTTAAAGCAGGGGGAGAAAGGAATCTGATGAAGAATGGCTCACCTCCAACCCAACAGCCTTTAAAGGGAACACCAGAACAAAAAGCATGTGATGGACATTAGTTCTGAGTTGCCTCTAACACTTCCCTTTGTCTACTTGTTTCTGTCATTTTGCCACTTTAGTAGCTCTTTTGTTTGGGGTTTTTTGAAAGGGGGAAATAGATATTTAACAGTAGCAAAGCTGTATTAAAGGTATCTCCTTCTTTCACCCTGTGTACTTTAATGAAGAATTAAAGCTAAATAAGAGAAATGAGGCAAACTGGAGACTTCAGGATGAAGCAGAGAACATATATCTCATGTGGATGAAGTGAGTTATTTTATTATTTTGCATGAAAGATAGATAGAAATCCAGTTGAAAACAGCTGAAAATATTTTCTTGGTGAGTAAAATACACAGTGATAAATACAAAAGAAAAGAAAATATGAGATATGAGACCATTTTAGAGTATGGTGTGGCTGTAAGATTTGTTAAAGTAAGGGAGCTGCTTCACATTTCTTTGGCTAAAAGAGGGGACTCAATAGCGTATAGAGCTGCTATTGAGGTGGTAAATTAAAATGTTACTACCAGGTGATGAATAATGAATGAAACAGGGTAGAAATGGCACTTACTCTATACTTAAAAGCTGACTTTTTTACAGACAAAACATCTGATCCTAATACTATTGTGCTTTTGGTTTTTTTCTCTTTGTTTTTTTTTTTTCCTTTTTGTAATGTCTTTGAAGCTGACAAATTTTAAAATGTATAGTAGGAAATTCCTAACATTGCCCCCTGACACTGAGAGAAGCAGTAGAAAATGAACTTTCGTGCTGCGACCAGAGATTTTACCTTCCAACCTCTCACAAAATTTGGCATAATGCTCACTGTTTGTCAGGAGTGGAGTTATGAATAACACAAGCTTGCTTCTCCTAGGTTTGGTGATAACTCAGTATCTGGGAAAGAATGGGAATCCTAACAGAAAGATTTTGACAAAGCAGTGCAAGTACACACTGTGAGAAGCTGACCAGGAGCTCCTCCAGCCAGAGGTTAGCAAATGGCAGGGGGGACTTGCAGTGATTTCCTCAGCCAGACAAACTCATGGGCATTTTTCTCACAGCCTCCAAATAGCCAGAGCCCAGGCAAGCTGTGAAGAGCAAGGGAGTGACCCCAGAATTTACATTATTTGTTAAACCAAAAGCCTTACAAGGTGTTTATCAAGGAAGAAGGCACCAGCTTTTTGCAGCAGAAAAGTAATTAAAAACAGTTTGACTGCAGAAGCTTAAAGTTAGCAGGGTCATTTTGTGAGCATTTTCCTGAGGGCTTTTCCAGGCTGTTTTTTAAGATTTTTTTTTTTTAAAGATAAATCTGAGTCTAAGATTGGCTGTGCTTCACCACAATTATTTATTTTTTCTTTCTTTTTTTCTCCCCTCTTCTCTGTAATTCTTAACAAGTAGGGCTGAGTGACAGAGCCCAAATACATTTGGAAATATTAATGTAAACATTAATGAGTCATTTGCTACATTGGCATTTACAATTAATTTTGACTGTGAATATATTCAAGCACGAGAATTAGTGCAATGAATCCATGAATATTGGTTTTGGAATTTGTTCTGTGGGCACATTTTTTACTGCTTTATCATGAAAACATCTAAACACAAAAGCCAAGACAGTGGCTCAAGGTGCTAAAAATACAAACAACTTTTTTAAAATGGTCCTTCTCTGGGTGGACTGCAACCTGAAAGCACACACGCCCTGTTTTGGCTAATCCTCGCAGTTTTGCTCACTCTGTGTTATTCTGACTCCTGAAGGATCACCAAACTTTAAGGCCTGGGCATTAGTCTTTGCAGGACTGGGGCCACAGCTCCTAATGCAGTAACAGTGCACGTGACCTCCGTGCCATTTCTCAAGTCTGTTTTATTCCTCTTTGCATCATAGGTCATTACTCCCTTAGTCATGAATGCTTGTAGAAAATCTGGAATTACAAAAGAAGCCCTTCTTAGATGTTACGTAAATATTACCTGTCACATGCTTGTCACACACTGAAGGGGATGTGAGTCCCCATCTCTGCAGCCTGGACAGCAGTTCCTCCTGCTGTCCCTTTCTGAATGTCATGCACCACACCGTGCTCTCTAGCTGCCCACCTGACAAACAGACCAGCCCAGCTGGGACGGACAAACAGACACAAACAGCTTCAGACCCATTCGTGCAGAGTCCAGCGAAGGAGGCAGAGGGACAGCATCTGCTGCAGAGCATGGCAGTGCTGGACATAGCAAGGGTATTTGCTGCTGCCCAATAGCAAGAGTGTCCTCTCCACAAGGAGTTTCTAAAATGAGTTCTGGATGTATTCACCACAGGTATTTATTTCTCTTTCTGAAAATAGCTGAAAATTAGCAAAGCATGAAGGAGTATACTGTTTTGATGATCTCTGAGGTTAAAAGTGATCTGTCAAGGGAAGGATGGAGGTGGGGATAGAGCATGGGATTTGTGCGTGCAGTCTCCACTTTATTTTAATGAGATGTCTTTGCTTTAGTATGGCTGCAGTCGCAAGAATGAAGCATAAAATGCCTAAATGCATATATGTGCCTTTACACTTAAGAGTTTAATGTTGGAGAGCTTTAGGGTAGTGTTGCTTATTTCTTACCTACTTTTCCAGTGTGTCTGCCATAGGAGCCTCCAGCAGAGGAGGAGGAAGGAGGAAGGGAGAGGACAGAGGGTGGAAGAGAGGTTGAATAATCCCTTTTGCGTCCCCTAGACCGTGTGCTGCTGGCTCTGGGGAAATGTATCTGCCCTGCCTCCTCCTTGGGTCAGGAGCTGCCGACCCTTCTCGCCTTCCCTTTGAAGTCATATTTAGGCTCACAAGACAAGCTCTAGCTAGGGCTTAAATGTTGGGCCCTTCTTGGAAGGGAGGAAAGTGCTGCTGGTGGCTTTGGATGCAACAGCGTTCTCTAACTGACAGTTGCTGTGCATCTTTTTCTGGGCAAGTGTTGTAATTACCGTGCCCTTTTGATTACAGAAGGATGAGCCAGCTCCTGTGGAGGATTGTAGTGTCCTGGCTGTCTTCCCGGGCCTGCCACCCAGAGGAGCAGTTGCAGCAGGGAAAGGAGAGAGTCCTATAGTTATTTTCAGGAGTGAAACATTGATTTTGTATGCTAGGCAATTTTGCATAGGGAAGTGCAAGTAGAAGATAATTTTAAAAAAAGGAGTAGGGGAAAAAGAAGACAAAAAAGGAGAAAAAGAAAAAGAAAAAGAAAAAGAAAAAGAAAAAGAAAAAGAAAAAGAAAAAGAAAAAGAAAAAAGAGAAAAAAAAGTTTTCCTTCAGTCACTTCCCAAGCTTTGGGACTACAGCCTAGGGAACCATGCTTTTAATTTAGTTGCCAGCAAGGTAACACTATTATCTAATCTGAGTGTAGTGACAAGCGACTTAGCCTGGGTTCTTCATGTCCATTTCTAGTCTTAAAGGAGGAGTTACTTTTGCAGTGCACCTTCTATTGCCTCCTTAGCCAGGTATAACCCAGGAATAATGTGCATCAAAGCTGTAAATGCAAATTGTAGCAGAGGCTCTGGGGTGCTATATCACATCCTCCTGCCCCTGCCCTCTCTGCATCAGGTCCAGCATAGGGAAGGTGCTGGAAGAACCAGTTCAGGAGTGCAGGAGTGTAGGAGTGCAGGGATGCAGAGAGTGCAAATGCAGATGTGCAGGTGTGCAGGGTGCAGAGGTGCAGGGGTGCAGAGGTAGAGGAGCACTGGGCTGCAGGATACAGGTGTGCACTCTCCTGGGCCCCAGTCCCGTGCATGGGCACTTCCACTTGCCATGCTAGGCTGCAGCTCACAAAAGCACAGGCTGGCCAAGGACGGGAGCATTTCTTTAGGTATGTGCCAGTTGTTTATTCATTCATGGTAAAGGCAGGATAAACACCTGGCAAGAGTGCTGTCCCATCAGGAGGTGTAATACCACATTGGATATTACTGAGGGTACTCCACCTCCCTGTGGCATGGCACATTTCTTTCTGCCCTACCTGGCCTGGGTACAGCTGCAAGTTGCCCCTCCTCCCTCATCATACTCACCCAATTTCTCCACTTCTCCTCTCCTTGACTTCTGTTCCTCAGCCTGGATCCTGCATTCCAGTTCCTCTCTGTTCTCCTGCCTCACCCAGGCTCTTCCCTCCCGCATTTAGTACTCTGGCTCCACACCACAGCAGCAAGGAGAAAAGAAACACCACACCACAGCAGCAAGGAGAAAGGAGGGACACAAACTTTCCTGCCAATGTTGTTTGCATGGAGTCAGTATTTACATGATAAACAGAATTGAACAAACACAGGCCTTTTCAGGAAGAACCAGTGCATTGGTCTCAATGCTGCACCAAACCTCTGAGGCAGGAACCAAGTCCTAACCCCTGATTCTGATCCAGTGGAACAACTCTTTTTTTCCAGAAGCTGGGTCCTAAAGAACTGTGACAGCCCCAGTTACACACAGACACAAATGATTATTCTCTCTTGACAGACCTACACAGCTCCCTCCTTGTATTTAACTGCAGTCCAAGTGAGCTGGATCAGGAAAGAGACACTTGATAGCTGCTGTTTCCGTGGTTGAAATATTTGTGAAGTTAGCGCATAATCTGAAAGCAGAAGCTAATAAATTATAGGGTGCTAATTGGGGCCGGAGTGGAGCCGTCAATCATATTATCCTAAACACACAGAGACCCTCATAACCTAAAAAGGCAAGAAAGCCTCCAGGAACAGCTCCCAGTTGTCACTAGCCATGACCTCCACTTCAGTGAGTGCACAGAGAGTCAAGGCAGAGAGTTTATTCTGCTCAGAAAATACAAATCCTATATTTAAGACAGCACTTTTATTTGATTTTGTTTACACTCTTTGGGAATGTATTTCCAAGAGAATGCTATTATCTTCCTTTGCCGCTTAACTTGACCCTTCTGCCATTAAAAAAAAAAAAGTAGATAGGTAAGAATTTGCAATTTTTATATTTGTTTAGTCCTTAGAGTACCAGTCACAAGACAATTCACAGTCCAACCTCCTTGCACATAGGCTTGTTTTTCAAAGGCCATCCTATAACTCATATATCTTTTATTGCTTTCCATGCCCCAGTAACACATATTCCACTTAGGACCTGCAGGACTCTGTGATCTGAGCCAAAACACAACTGTGAAAACATGGTAACTGTAGGGTGTTTGCAGCTATAGTCACTTTGTCACTACTTATTCTTATACTGCTTCCATCAAGATTGAGTATTTTACTCATAATATAAAGCTGAATCAAAGAATTCTAAAGAGATTTTTAGTAAAACTTTTACCCATAAATTTATTTCTGTTTGTAGATAGGTAGGCATTCCAGAAAGCATTCCCTGAAGAAAAGATCTGAATGGATCAGATCACCTTGAGGGCCATCACGCAGGGCATGCAGGACAGTCGGGGGTCAGGCTCAAACTTACAAAAGGCAGGTCTTGCTCGACTGATCTCCTTCTATGGCAAGATGTCCCACTTAGTGGATGAGGAAAAGGCTGTAGATGTTGTTTATCTGGGCTTCAGTAAAGTCTTTTACACTGTTCCCCACAGCATTCTCCTGAAGAATCTGGTGCTCATGGCTTGGCTGGGGTTTCACCCAGCTCCCTGGGTAAAAATCTGCTGGATGACCAGCCCCAGAGAGTAGTGGTCAGTGGGGTTACATTCAGAGGTCAGCAGACACAAGTGGTGACCCCCAAGGCTCAGTACTGAGTCCAGTCCTGTTTAATATCTTTATCAGTGATATGGAGGAGGGAATTGAGTGTTGCCTCAGTCACTTTGCAGGCAATACCAAGCTGGGCAGGAATGTTAATCTGTTGGAGGGCAGGAAGGCTTTGCAGAGGGACCTGGACAGGCCGGATCCATGGGCCAAGGCCAGTGGGATGAGGTTCAACATGGCCAAGTGTCATGCCCTGCCCTTGGGTCACAACAACCCCAGGCAGCACTGCAGGCTGGGGGAAGAGTGACCAGAGGAAAAGGACCTGGGAGTGCTGGTTGGTGTCCAACTGAACACGATCCAGCTGTGCCCAGGTGGCCAAGGAGGCCAATGACATCCTGGCTTGTGTCAGAAATTGTGTGGCCAGCAGAACCAGGGAAGGGATTGTCCCTCTGTATCCAACACTGGTGAGGCCACACCTGGAGTCATACATCCAGTTCTGGGCCCCTCAGGACAAGAAGGACATTGAAGTGCTGGAGCATGACCAGAGAAGGGCAGCAGAGCTGGTGAAGGGTCTGGAGCACAAGTCTTATAAGGAGCAGCTGAGGGAGCTGGGATTGCTTGGACTGGAGAAAAGGAGACAGAGGAGACTTTATCACTCTCTACAACTGCCTGAAAGGAAGTTGTAGTGAAGTGCCAGGCAACAAGTAGCAGGACAAGGAGACATATCTTCAAGCTGTGCAAAGGGAGGTTCAGGTTGGTTATTAGGAAGAATTTCTTCATGGAAAAGGTTGTCAAGCAATGGATTGATGTGGTGGCAGAGTCACTGTCCCTGGAAGTGTCCAAGAAATGACTGGACATGGTACTTAGTGCTATGGTTTAGTTGACAAAGTGGTGATTGGTCAAAAGTTGGACTCCATGATCTTGGAGATAATTTCCAGCCTTGATTCTGTGAATCTGTGAAGGGCATCAGAGCTGGTGAAGGGTCTTGAGCACAAATTTTATGTGGAGCAGCTGAGGGAACTGGGGTTGTTTAGCCTGGAGGAAAGGAGGCTCAAGAGTAACTTCATCATTCTCTATGACTACCTGAAAGGAGGTTGTAAGAAGGTGGAGATCTGTCTCTTCTCCTAAGTAACAAGTGACAGAATGAGAGCAAACAGCCTCAAGTTGCACCAGGGGAGGTTTAGGTTGGGTTTTATGGCACAGCTCTTCTCAAAAAAGGCTGTCAAGCATTGGAACAGGCTGCCCAGGGAAATGATGGATTCAGCAACCCTGGATGTATTTAAAAGACTTGTAGATGTGGTGTTTAGGGACATGGTCTACTGGTGCATTTGGGAGTGCTGGGTTGAGGCTGAACTTGATGATCTTAGAAGTCTTTTCCAACCTAAATGATTCTATTCTATTCCAGAAAGAAAATCCACCTATGTCAACAGAATTAAAAAGGGAATTAATACCCAGACAGGGAGTGGTTATTTTACAATCTGTTCATACAGTGAAAGATAGAAGGCAGCGATAAACATCCTCCAAACTGAAGATGTCACACAAAGAAGTTAACACATCATAAAAAGGTTATTTATACAGCAGTATCAGTTATGTCAGTAGCAATAACAACAATATTTTGGCATCTTCACTTGGCTTTGATACCCTGGGTTTCTGGCTATTTTTTAGAGTTAAAACATAA